ACAACAATGTGGTCACATTTATGTCCAAAATTATGAAATAACACAAATATGTCTCTAGAGAATACATAAAAAGTATAAAATTTTTTTGAAAAACTATACTTTCTCTTGGTTACTAATATGCCCCTGTTGAGAAAGACTTGGTGATTAGGTATAGAAAACAAATTTTCATATTATCATAACATTTATTCAAAACTAATCTTCATAAAAAATTTATGAATTAAATTTATAAATCAAATTAAAAACTTTATTAATTGAAATATAGTTTAGGTTATATGCTAAGAACATGGACTCTAGAATCAAATTTTCTGGCTTTAATCCAAGATTGTCCACTGACTACAGAGTAATATTTAGTGAGTTAGTCCATCTTTGTGTCTCAACTTCATCATCTACAAAAGGGGAATAACAGCATCTATCTTCATGGGGTTGTGTAAGGATGACATAAAATGGTATGTGGAAGCACTCACAAGACTGTCTGGTACACAGAATGCTCCACAAAAGCATCTTATTAAAATATATCAATATTAGCACAACTTATCTTCACAAGTTTCTCTTTCAGTTTCTGTAAAACTAATTAAATGTACTAGGGAAACAATATTTGAAGGAAGTCTGTCAGTTTAAAAGCCATCTATTAATAATTCAGTTATGTACATATAAGGGTTCTTTAAAGCCAGATTAAGGTAAGAACAAACAGGGTGTATATTCTTTCACAGCTCTTAACTTTATAATTCTATGAAGAGCCAACTGAATATGTGAGTGATACTGTAATATACAAAAATGCACTAATCCAGTGAAGCAAAGGGTAAACTGTTGCTATTTATCCCAAAAATTCCCAAAAGACAAAAATCTTACTAGGAAAATTATTAGTTCAACTGTGAATATACTATGTTTGTGGTGCTCATAGAATACTTCAAGATATTCCAGGAAATAATTACAAGTACAGATTAAAACTGTAGAGCTCACTCCCAGAAAAGTTGATCACTTCCTTCTTTGTACTACCATGAAATTTTTCACATTATTTCATGACAATTGGTTGTCTATATACACTTCTCTAGTGCAAGAATACATGCTTCTTAAAGAAATTTAGACCTTACCATATAATAAGAACTCAATAAATTTTGATTTTTAAAAATGCAAAACTTGTAGAACTATACAATAGTAAATTTTACTAAATGTAAAAAAAAATGATTCAAAATTTTTTTCACTCCGTGATTTTTAGTAAGGATGAATTTTTCATTTTGAAGAATTCTTTTAATAGGTAAATTTTTTTTTTCTTTTAATTTGGTCAGAGAATTACTAAGTGCTTCCAAACAACAAAACCTGGCATCATCATGAGGCCTATAAGTCTGAACAAATACATAACAAGGCAGAAAATTAATTAATGGATAAAATAAGGGAGAGAGAACCTAATGAAGACTCTAGAAGTACATTAAAATTCTTAAGGAGTTCATTAAAAATACCTTCAATGTTAACTGAAAATATTCTACTTTTTAAAAAATATTTTCTTAATTATTGATGAAACTTTATTTTATTCATTTATTTATATGCAGTGCTAAGAATTAAACCCAGTGCCTCACATGTGAAGCAAAAGCCCTACTACTGAGCCACAACCCCAGCCCCAAGATTTCGCCTTTTAATTTACATCCATTTTGTCCCACTGTCCCAGATGTGGAACACCTATAAAAACTTAGTATATAACATATAATCAAAATATAATCACAGTAAGAACATAATATAATAGTAATAATATTTATAAACTCTAGATTATTATTTACAACCTATTCTCATGTACCTGTGTCCATTTAATCAAAATATTTACAGAACTGAAAACCTGAGATTGAATAGGTTAACTTCTGTAACTCAAAGAAACTTCTGGACCCTATCCATGTTATTCAAAGAACTGTGATAAGGAGTTCCATCATAAATGTGCTCAGTTATATGAACTATATAAGGTAAGAGACAGCTACTGTCATCCCAAGCCATTGATAACTGTTTTACTACAATCCTTTAGTTTAAAATCTGTAGAAGCAATTTCTAAAAAATGCTTCACTGGTGTTATTTACTTCTTAAATTTAAAATATGATAATGCCCTAACAGAACAGACTGGCTACCAGATCTACATTCAATAGCAGAAAAGACAATTTCSTTGGTAATACCTTTCAGTGAAATCAATCCCAGGAAATAACACTAACCAATTGTTCCTCAATTAGAGGGAAGAAAATCAAAAAGAAAACAGCTCTTTAACAATGAGGGGACAGAAAAAAAGTAGCAGTAGAGGGTGAAAACCAGCAATATCAACAGGCTTACAAGAAGTATGAAATAACAGCAGAAAAGGAAGGATACAGAGAATGAAATTCCTATAACACAAACACAACTGCTTAAGTCTATACTTTCTCATCTGAAAAAAAGCATAATAAACAATGATCAAATGTACATTGATTCTAATTTTATAAAATTGAAAACCTGAAAATCTTATACCAATAGAAAATATTGGTAAATTTTAAAAGACTCCCCTAATTTTGGCCCTACTTCCCTTTCTGTGAAGAAATTCATAAAGGGAAAAAAATAACTTCGGACTCTAAATGATGAATATTAACTATTAAGAATAGCCTCTCTATAAGGTCTGAAATAGAAGAAAAATGTACATTTCTTCCAGAGTTGTAGCCAACAATAACTTTTGCATTCTGAATCCAACTAGTTGGAAAGATGTTTATCAAAGTGTTTAATAAGAAARTACTAAATTTAGCTTTTTTCTCTCCCTTCAGTTTCTTAAATGGCCTGAGGTCCATCAAATGCATTAAGGAGAACCTTTCCTAACTATAAATGACAAAGGGAAACATTACTCTACAGCTTTCTTCTTATAGAGAGCTGTTTTCATAGATCAGAGGTCATCAAACTGCTTCTGTAAAAGACCAGATAGTAAATATTTTCGGCTTTAGAGGCCATATAGTCTCTGTCACAAATACTCTATTCTGCTATGTAGCATGAAAGTAGCAATGGACAACATGTAAGTGTATGGTCGTGGTCCAATAAAACTTTATTTACAGCAACGACAACAAATCCTTGTCTGTAGTTTGCTAAACCCTTAGGTCGTCTTTTTTATAATCTACTCAGAGATACATTGTTTTAATATATACTATGAATTCTGAAATAAAATTTCTAAAATTTGCTTTAAAATACTTCATTTAAAAAAAAGAGTAGGGAGAAAGGTTAAATAAGACAATTATTATTAAAACCAGATAATGGATACATGGAGTTCATTATACTATGCTTTATAATTTTAAAATTTTGAAAATTTCCATATTAAAGCTTTAAAAATATAAAGTTAGTCAGTGAACCTGCTCTACAGGAAAATGAATTTCCTCACCTTATTTCCTGACCTTATTTAAGACCTTCTAAAAAGAGTCTTAATACTTTTAAACATAATTAACATAAGATGGTTAACAAAAAGCCATTAAACCATAATGAAAAAACTTAAAAGTAATCCACAAAAGATTATATAATTATAATAAAATATTCCACAATTTTAAAAAAATCTCACAATATACACTGATGTTTAATTTATTTCCATATTATCTATTAATAAGTGTTATCAATTTTTGAAAAAATACATTATTTGCATTAAAAAATAATGTTTATTACTTTCTAAATAAATGTATAATTTTTTAAATTTCTGTTTTGTTTTTGTTTGGGGGTTTGTTTGGGGGGGTTGTTGTTGTTTGGTACTGGGAACTAAACACAGAGGCACTTAATCAGATGTGGTTCTGATTTTTTATTTAGAGGCAAGGTCTAAGTTGCTTAGGGCCTTGCTAAGTTGCTGAGGCTGGTCTCAAACTTGCAATCCTCCTCTCTCAGCCTCCCAAGTCACTGAGAGTACTGGCAGGTGCCACAGTGCCCAGCTCTTTCTGTTTTAAATACAAAGAACTAAATACTTACAAATATAACCCAGATAAATGTTTAGGGTCTTTGATAAAAACAAGAGATCCCCAGACCAGAAAAATCTGAGGAATTATGACCTAAATATTTTCAGTGTTGTTTTAAGTATGTTCAACAAGCAACCACAAGACATACAAATTTATTTCACCTTTGAACAATAACCATCACACAGTGAAATTAGTCCACCATGAAGCCTATCAATACCCACAGGAGGAAGATACTTAAACCTTCAACTTACATATTCTTTTAAACTGCCTGGTAAATCATCAGAAAAGAATAATTGTAATGTTGCCCCAGTCTTGTGCAGATAATAATTTTAAGAGTTTGGAAATTTCCACATTAAAGCTTTAAAAATATAAAGTTAGTCAATGAACCAATAATATATAAAACATATAATATAAAATCAGTCTCTTGAAACAATAAAAAAGAAAAACCAGTATGTGCCAATAGAGTTTTCTAATAAAAGCAACACAAATCAAAATACATAGTCTCATTCAATGCTCAAAGCCAAAAATCAACCTAAATAGAGCCTTAGGAAAGAAATATAAATGAATGTGCAATTACTCAAAGACTGAATAAATATGTTTATAAATGTTTCAAATTTTCCTCAACATTCTGAAATAGTTATTTCAAATATCAAAACTAAAAACTAATTTAAGCTAGGTTCACAAAGTTATGACATTTGAAAGAAACTAAGAACTTTGAAAACATTTGACTATCCAAATATATACTCAGTCTCAAAATTTTTTAAATCTAAAACTAATGTGGCAATAAACAATCCATAACAGATTAAGGCAGATAATAATTACAAAAAATGTGTTTACATGATATTATCTTTAAAAAGATGCATCAACATTCATTTTTCAAATACAGTACTCCCTTATAGCATTTTTTTTATCCAATTTTGCCTGTTGTGCACATGGCTCTTTAAAATGTTAAGAGATTTTTTTCACTATTACTTGCTTAAACACACATTACTTACAAGTTACATTTTATAAATTTTATTTCTATTGTCTTTCTTCAACAAATAAATTTTAAATAGTAATAGCATGCAAAGACATACTTACATCATACTCTGCAATTCTGCTGCAAAGCTTATAGCCTTTCCTGTACTTCTTGCACTACCTGAAGTGGCAGCAGACATTGGGCTAGCTGCAGTATTATTCATCTAAATAAAAAGGAGACATAAAGCTTACAAAATTTATAAATGCATGAGAAAAAACTGAAGCAATTATAAATTCCATTCAAAAAGATCCACAATATTATATTTCTGATCATTTGTTTTGCATAAGTCCTATTTGCTTATACTTAATATTCTTTACTCAAATGAAATAGTATGGATGAAAAAGCTTCTTAGTCAAGTAAGATAAACAATTACTTGAGTGATAAACATTTCAGTACCTATTCTCTATAAAATGTAACAAAAGTATTCATTAAAATATTTTAATAGAGCTCAGTGGTTTTCAAAATGTGTTCCAGGAAACGCTGAGATTCATTAGTAATTCTTCAGAGCTCCCAGTGGCCCCTGAACACGATTTCTTCCAGACTACCAGAAAACTGATTTTTCTACTGATTTTTATATATGGGGATTCCAAGTAAGAATTCATTTAAAGAAAGAGTTCTACAATTATAAAATATGAAATTAGAAACCTAGARCATAATGTAATCTCTACTTGAACCAAAGTCTAAAATACAAATAAAGTCAACAGATCAGAAAAGCATTGTGAAATTTTATAATCTTATGAGTAAATAACTCATTTAATCTAAAATGTGATTTTTCCCCATAAAATTAAGCAAATGCATAATGAGAAAACTAGATTCCAATCCTAATGTATAYTATTTTAATTAATGAATGTAGCATTGGGGCTAGGGCTGTAGCTCAGTGGCAGAGCACTTGCCTAGCATGCTTGAGGCACTGGTTTGATCCTCAGGGCCACATAAAAATAAACAAATAAAATAAAGGCATTCTGTCTATCTACAACTATAAATTTTTTAAAAAAATGAATATAACATTAAATAAGAATTAGTAAAAAAAAAAAAATAGCATTTCAAAAGTCATGAGGGGCTGGGGTTATGGCTCAGCGGTAGAGTACTTGAGTGCGAGGCACTGGGTTCAATCCTCAGCACCACAATGAAAGTAGGTAAAAGTTCAACTACTATACAATTGAGTTTAATATCATTTCATATAAAGTTGATGTAAACTTTGCAATATTGTAATTTTCTTTAAAATAAAAACAGACTCTAAGGGACAAAAAAAAATCAGAACATACCATAAAATAGCACCTGGAACTTTAAATGTTGTCTAAGAAGGCAAGTTCTGGAATTGTTACCAGACAAAAGACTCACTCATTCAGGAGACAAGGCAGTGGTAGAGAAAGACCTTCTTATGGATTAACTAAATGAGCTGAGATGGCAACTTAAAGGATCATCTTGCCCAGGGGGTTGGTTTAGGGTCAGTTTAAATAGGAGATGGGGAAACACCAGACTGATAAGCACCTTTTCACAGGTAGGTTTTTTTTTTTTTTCATTTTTTTTTTTAGACATTCATTGGCCTTTATTTTATTCATTTATTTATATGCAGTGCTGAAAATGGAACCCAGTGCCTCACATATGCTAGGCTAATAATGCTCTATCACTGAGGTGCAATCCCAGCCCCACAAGTGGAGGTTTGTGGAACAAATGGCTTACACATCTGAAGATGCTTTTCAGTTCTGCAAATCTCAAGAAAMCAGTTCAAGCTAGACTTGTCACTGATTTAGCTTGCCCAAGTGTAGTTCCTGAGTTGTTATAGAATGGCAAGAGTGGGTAGTACCCTGAGGCTCTCTTGAGCTGATCAAATTCAATATAATGAAAGAAAACATATTTCACCTAAAGGGTAAGTGAAGTTAAATAGGATGTATGGAAGAAATCTAGTCAATGTCTGGCCTCAAAGGCAGACTGCCTAAGTTTGATTTGCCAGCTCTGCTACCTTGCCACAAGTGTGGACAAGTGACTTAATTTCTCTGTGCTTCAATTCTGAAGAAGCAACAGGACAAAGAGCTAAGACAAGCAGCACACTGACCTTTCTGGCCTCATCTGAGGGCCCAGACAAAACCACTAGGCACAGAACAAGGGCCAAAGAAAGAGAAAAAAAATATTCCACTCAAATTAAACTTAAAGTCCAGAATTCCACAATATATGACGAATCTAATGCAAGAAAGAATATCACTTTTTTAACCCTAATTTTTTTTCTAATTTTTCATAAAGACTTTTTAAAAGAATATGATATTRGAAAATATCTAAGAGGTCAAGTTCTGGAGTTATTACCAGACAACTTACAGGAAAAGAAACATTACCTGTTGAAACCTGGGCCAAAAAAAAAAAAGACATCACCAGTCCAGAATTGGGCAAAAATAGGTAGGAAACTAAGGACTTCCACGAACAGTCCAAAAGAAATAAGACAATGTGGGGGGGGGAAGGCCTGCATTTCTCAAGGACCTCAGAATATGTTCCCCTGTTGTCCCAACACAAAGCTGACAGTGACATTTAGTAGAAAACATTAAACTCAACATTACATATTAACTCCAGTCTCCAAAACAGTTATGATTTAAGTTGACTCATACCACATTTGATATATATGCTATTCTGTAGAATTATCCTATGACCAAAACTTCACTGAGACATTGCTGGACCAATCTGCCCCTTTTACATTTAAAATCAAGTCACCCTGCTTCAACCCTCTGTGAAGAGGAGATACTTCATAAAGTAAACTGATATTAAGACCACAGCTCTGAGCCGGGGATGTGGCTCAATAATAGAGTGCTTGCCTAGCATGCAAGGAAACCCCAGCACCACAAAACACACACACAGCTTTCTTCAGTTGTCTCCCTACTGTGAATGTTTCACATCAAGGGTATTTATTGGTAAGAGGTAAAGGATCCCAGTCCTAGTTTATAATAACCATGATCATCCTTTTACAGTCAAGTTATTTAATTTTTAAATCAAACAGGTGAATAACATTTCTCTTGACATGATGAACTGATAGCTCATTAGACTTTTTAAAATAATTATTTCCCATACCCATATATTCTGTTTGATGATTTAGATAATTAACTTCTTTAGACATTAACTTCTTTACACATCAAAGTCCTATCATTTCAATGCTTTATTTCCTTTCTTCCAGACATTAAAAAAGTCTGTTAAAAGCAGAAGCACTCAAGTCAATTTTCTCTAATAAATACAGTTAACATGGAACTGAAAACCTACTGTAATCTTCTCAATGGGTTAATGTCCTACAGTTGTTTCAGCTTTCAATTGAAATGCAGCTGTTTGCCATATTTTACAAAATGAATTCAGATGTGCAGATTGGGATCAAGATTATTTCAACATGCCACAGCTTAAATGTGAACCCAAGAAGAAGTTCATTTCTGATTAATACTATGTAAACCTGATCACTGACCAATAGCCAATACTATGTCACACCTGTAAAATCCCATTTCAAAGGAAAAAAAACAGCATTTTTTAATTTACAGCAATGGAATTTAGGATATACTTCTTTCCASAGAAAATACCGCCGCCACCCCCCCAAAAAAAATTGTTACTTGTTGTAAACACAAAAAAATGAATCAAACAAAATGCAAGGAACATGACACTGGGTTTCCATCTAGAGATCATATTTTGAAGAGCTACCATGAGAAACATCTTTAAGCTTAGAAGACATCAAAGACTTAAGAATCTCATTATTACTAGTTTCTGCACCCTCAAAGCAAAATCTAGACTGTGAAATCTAGCAATCAATCCATTAATTAGTGGAATTTATCAGATAATAAAAATGGAATTTTTCATTTCCTGTTACATCACTGCTAAGAAAAATTAATTCAAACCTATACACTAATTTTGTAAACCCATACAGTCTCAATTCTAATCATCCAGTCTGAAAATCTCACATAATAAAATAAATTTTCACAATTGGAATATTTTCATAAAACCCCAAAGGTAGGAAACAATTATGGTTACAGCAACACTATTATACACGGCACATCAATTCTGTTGTTTTTTTTTAAACTCAAGTTATAGCATAACCTAAATTTCTACAAATGTGAAAAATAATACCAAATGGTCAATTACTGAGAATGAAATTTTTAAAAATGTACAAAGTATCACAAAACTTCCATATCTAGTATATTGATGTGGCTGCATCACTGTATTATGCTGTTTTTAAGTCCTTTAGATATTGATAACCACTGAGTCAAACAGCGGTTCCAATCCAAGTTTTCTAAGGAATTTTCATACTGCTTTCCATGGTGGTTGCAACAATTTGCAGTCCCACCAACAATGTATGAGAGTACCTTTCCTCTCCACATCCTCACCAACATTTATTGTTACTTGTATGTTTTTTTAAGTTGTTGATGTACTTTATTTTTTATTTATTTTTATGTGGTGCTGAGGATCGAACCCAGTGCCTCACACATGCTAGGCAAGCGCTCTGTCACTGAGCCACAACTCCTGCCCCTTACTTTTATTCTTGATGATTGCCATTCTGATTGAAGTTTCTTGAAGTGCCCAAGGACACACCACTATTTAGCAATACAAGTCGGGACTAAAACTAAGGTCCCGCTGACTTGTAGTCCAGAGTTCTTTCTACCATCCAACAAGAAACATAAAATTAAAAAAAAAAAAAAAAAAAGTTTATCACAACTCACAAGACTGCCACAATTTGTCATAGGAAATTTTGTTGTGAAATATCTACCTAAATAGAACCACAATGCAGCAGTCAAGAGGAGGGTTATGGGGTTCAAACACAGGCTCTATCCATTACCATCTGACTTTGAGCAAGTCATGTCACCTCTCTGCCTCAATTCCCTCATGTCTAAAAAAGTTGTTTAAGGACTAGGGTTGTGGCTCAGCAGTAGAGCACTTGCCTTGCATATACGGGGCCCTAGGTTCAATCCTCAGCACCACATAAAAATAAATAAATAAAATAAACATTTTGTGTCCAACTGCAACTAAAAAAATATATATTTTTTAAAAAAGAAGATATATGAATAAAGTTAAAATATATAGGATTCAGTCAGAAACAGCTACACCATTTAAAATAGCAAAGTACAAGTCAAGATAGTTTAAATAATTTACATTTGTTAATACTTTAGTTTATTATGCAAATATTAAAGAACTTATTTCTATATACTGTCCTCTGAATTCAATGAATACAGCACTTTTTCAGTAATGATCACATACCATATGCCAAATAACATGATTTTTTAATGTTCATTATCTTTATTTAACCTTAAACATTCAATAACTATCAGCCAAATATTATCATGGCCAGTACTAGAGTGCAAAAACACCTGACAAGGGCTGGGGTTGTGGCTCAGCGGTAAAGTGCTCACCTAGCACGGGCGAGGCCCTGGGTTCGATCCTCAGCACCACATAAAAATAAATAAAATAAAGGTATTGTGTACAACTAAAAAATATATATATACTTAAAAAACACACACCTGACAAACCCGTTCTAGAAAGAAAGAGCATCATTGGTATCATTAGATAAAATTTACATGCCTGGATAAATAAATACAGGGAAAGTATTTTCAGCAAATTCCATGAAACACATCAAGTGCCCAAGAAAAAGGTTGGTTCTGTCTTAGCAATATTAGTAGAGTTGCTAATACTGTGTACAGAGTTGTAACCAGCTCAATAAAGCACCACTGCAATGACTCAACAGTATTGTCTGGGGGGAAAAAAGTTTGCAGTAATAGTGCCATTTTATATACTACTTATGCTCTTACACAAAATATACAATTTTTACAGATTTAGAGTCAGTCTTTATGGCCAGGGGTACTAGGTTGACAAGATGAAATAAAATAAACATAAAAATGTCAATAAAATAAGACTACAATTTATAAATGTATGTGTGTGTTGTGTGTGTGTGTGTGTGTGTGTGTGTGTGTTCGCGTGCACGCACGTACCAGGAATTGAACCCAGGGGCACTTAACCACTGCACCACATCCCCAGTCCTTTTTAAATTTTATTTAGAGACAGGATCTCACTAAGTTGCTTAGGGCCTTCCTAAATTTCTGAGGCTGGCTTTGAACTTGCGATCCTCCTGCCTCAGCCTCTCAAGACACTGGGATTACACGTGTCACCACGCTCAGCTAAATATAAATCTTATTGGATGCTCACCAACAATCTTTTGGCGAGAATGGAAAGAAGTACTAATTTCATTTTACTGAAGAGGCAACTGAGGCTCAGAAAAGTGAAATACCTTAACTAAAGTGGCAAAGAGAATATGGTAGAAAGGACAAAAGCTAGTTTTTTTTTTTAATTCATTTTAAGTGTTCTTTTCATCAATCCACAGTGCATCTCAGAATATTAGTGTCTCTTCAAGATCAAACGTAAGGCTATAATTGCTAATATTTATAAAGTTGCATCTCATTTATCTCTTATAAGTCAGGAAGTGGGTGCTATTACTATCTTCATTTTATAAATAAAAAAACTGAGGCTTTTTAGAAAAATTAAATAACTTGCCCCAAATCACATCATTATTAAGTAACTGAACAAAGACTCAAACTAGGCGTGCCTGACTCAGTAAAATACTTTATCCACTACAGTACAAATTCAATTAATACAATAATGCATTTGTCTGAATTATTTCTCATTATTTATGTAAACAACTCTAAGCAAATTCTTTAACATTCTAACACACAGCAAGCAGATTTCGGATTTCACTATTCAACGTCACCATAAAACAAAACAGATGTTATTTCAATACAAATTCTCAATCTTCTGATTTGACTGAGAGAGACTTTCTTTGTAGTCCCCTACAACAACAGATCCCCCCACTCCAAGAATCAAAAATCAACCTACTTAAGATTTCTATCCAAAACAAAATCTTAAAATTACCAGTGCCTGAAATGGACAAGTAACTTGCTGGCCTTATTCCAAGTGTCTCATCTATTACTTAAAAACAAAAGCAGTAACTGTTACTGTTTTAGAAGTAGTAATATTTCTGAAATGGCAGTATGGTTAATTTCTCTAAAATTATATATTATGGATTTCAACATGCCTGAAAATATGGTGACCATATTATTATTTAGTTCCAAATGAGACATTTTTTTACTATTTTTTTTAGTTGTAGATAGACACAATACCTTTATTTTGTTTATTTTTATGAGGTGCCGGGGATGAACCCAGTGCCTCATGSATGCTAGGCAGGAGCTCTACTAYTGAACCAACACCCCGACCCCAAATGAGACATTTTTGATAGTGGAAAAGGTTCTATTAATAACTATACTAGAACAAACATGGCTTCCCAGAAGCATTAAAGTATAGGGCCACCCTACATAAGAACCCATTTTGATTAGTATGTTATGAACTATTCTCTGCATATGACTTAATTCATGAGTTTTAAGTTATTGTTCCAGATCTACCAACTATCYTCAACCTTGAGAAAAAAGGCGTCATTGTACAGGCATCAGGCCAGAGTTAAGGTTGCTATCTGTAGTTTTTGTTTTGTTTTTTGGGGTTCTTTAAGTTTTATTTTCAGAGGTTGGGGGTAGCTCAGTGGTAGGTAGAAAGCATGCTTAGCATTTGGGAGTTCCAGGTTCTATTCCAGCGCAACCAAAAAAAAAAATTAAATGTTTTATTTTTATATTTTATGTGCTGAAAAACACATATTTCAAAGAATCTTTGAAAGATCTATCGACAAATTTCACGTATCCAAGTTTTGAACACAAATAATAAAACTTCTTTTCAAATGTCCCAATTTGCAAATGATAATGGAAAATTTTCCATTTTCAAACTACTATAATTTATCAAACTGCTTTATTAAACAAAAGGTTAAAAACACCAAAAAAAAATCTTTCAAATGGAAAAAGCTTTAAAGAAAATAACCAAAATTATAAAAGTTGATGGAAACCCATGATCACAATATAGTATAACAATGATTCTAGTTAGCATTGTTAGGCCTCGCCAACTAAATCCTGCAGTCGTTTTACAAGCTAGGAGTCCAAAGAATCCTTTGCTTTAATTGTCAAAGATAAATATATACTAACAGACCAATGATTTGAACTATAGTATTTGAGTTAAAAGCATTATTTGAATATATGTATGATGATACTTAAGAAAATAAATGTTACAAGACCTGGTTTTTCTGATTTAAAACTCAACCAAAACAAAAATTAGAAGGGCTGTCAAAATTTTAGACCTTCACTATCACAAGCAGTATCCAGTAGTCATATACAGCTGTTTAAATTGGAATTAATTTATTAATAAATAAAATTTAAAATTAAGTTCCTCTAAAATAAATAAATTTTTAAATGTAGAAAAAAATAATTTTAAATCTTAAAAAAAGAAAAAAAAAGTTCCTCAGTGGCACTTTCCACACTTCAAGTGCTCAGTTTCAACTGGTGCCTAGTAGCTATCATAATGAGACCACAAAGATTAAATAACATTGCATTGTATTTCCGTTATGGCAGAAAGTTCTATTGGGCAGTGTGCCTTTAGACTTATAACACTTTGCTTGAATATCCTGAGACAAGAAAAATGCAACTGCACACAAAAAAGTGCATTCTGGTTTTGCAGAATACTATCAAATAATTATTCCTCACAGCAGGTCAAACTCAGCCTATTTGGAACATTCCAGAAATTCCACCAGTTCCTTCTTCAAGAACATCTTTGCAGAGGTCTTCTCCTCCCAGATAAATATATACTCAACTTCTTCAGAATAACGTAAAGTTTCTATCTCCCGAGATATGCTAATTTATTCACGTGTAGAATAATAGCACCGTGTCCAGGATGCTCTTTTAGGTACTATACCACAACTTCAGTCTCATTTGTCAGCCAAGTGTCCTGATATTTAACTGAGAAAATAAGAATCAGTCTTTCTGAACTATTGAAACATGGAGATCAAAACCATCATAGCTGTCATACTGAGTAGTGCCAAACACTGTTCTAGAAACCTCACCATTTTAAACTAAGCTATTACAATCCCCATTTCACAGACCCCGAAACCGAGGCAAAGACAGGCTACATAATTTCCCCGGTGGTCACAGATGTGGGCTCATTTCATCTAGAACGGTGGAGCTTTTCCTTTCTGGGCGCTACACGAGGAGTAAAGCTCTCCGAAGTCTCCCTCCACCGGGCCATGCTGCGACCTCTTCCTCCAGAGCCCCGCTCCCCCAGCACTCCCTAAAACACCCGCGAGGGCGCCTCTTAGCGTAGAGCCCAGCACCGCCACGGCTCGCCGGCCCAGCTAGGCGAGCCCCACGCCCACCGGCCAACGGGGAGGAGTCAGGAGTCAACCCCACAACCGCAGGGAACCCAGGCGCCGCGCTGGGCCGGCGCCGCACACAGCCGCCCGCTTGGCAGCCCCCGGGCGGACACGCCAATTGCTCGCCAGCAGCCGGGGCCAGGGCGGGGCATGCACGCGAGCGCGAAACGCCGGGCTCCGCGCGCGGCGCCCATCGCGTCCCTTGACCTCTTCCCCGCTCCCCACCGCTCCCCACACTCCCTACAACCTCTGCTTTAAGGACACTTGTAGGCACGGCTGCGCGTCCCGCGTGGAGAATGTAGGGGTAGAGATGGCGCGGTTTCTGCTGCTGAGGCCTGGGACACGATTGAAACGGGACGGAGTGGGGGACAGAGAGTGTAGAAAGGGAAAAGGTGACTGGGCTATGGGGGGGCGGGGCAAGATGGCGGGAGCTCCACTCGGCGGGGCGGGGGTGGGCGAGACTGCGTTGGTAACGAYATCGGCGCCCCCACTCCTGGCGGCGCGGGCGCATGCGCACTGAGCCAGGTGACGCGCGGCCTCCGTCCTGAGCAAGCTACTTCCGCCAGGCTCCCGGGGGCGGGGCGCTGTGTTGCCAGAGAGCCCGAAGTGTGCAGTGCCAAGCCGCTCTACGGGCCTCTGGTCGCCAGTGGTTTGGAACTGAGATGGGAGCCAAAAGGTGTACGCTATCGGGGCTTGAAGGCCTTAGGAGTGGGCCTGGCGTGGGAGAGCCAGCGTTCCTGAAGGATTCCGTCACCTACATAAGGAGTTTGTTTTCCACTCTAGAACCCAAAGGGGCCAACACAGTGCTCTCTTCAAGAATGGTGGGAATGGTGGGAACATGAGGTTAAGAGAATAATTCTGTAAAATGGGCCCACTGTGCTGATCCCCACATGTTTTCTTTTCTAAGAAGCAATTTAAGCCTTGGTAGCAGGAATCAGGATTTGGAGAAGGGGTCTTCCCATTGCCCCAGCTTCTTGGAAGGCCCCAAAACTCAATAACAGTCTTCTCTCCCGATTTTTGGCTAGAGATGAAAATCTTTAAATAGTACAGTTATAAGACAATGATTTTGGCTGTTTTCACTCTTTGGAACATTTAGATTCTTATTTATATTTGTAATATTTTCAGTTGCTTAGGAAAGAAAACCRATTATCCATGCTCACATCCATTCCTACATGTCACATATTATGAAATATTTAATAGAAATTCAACTGTTAACCTTTACCAGGTCTTTGCAAGCATTACTGCTTCATTTATTTTCTTGCCTATGAATACTACGTTCTGAAATAATCCCTTTCTCCTATTTGCTTATGTTGTTTAAAATAGTGATTTATTTGGTTATTTCCTCTATGAATTGTAGTTGGATTATCTATGCATTTTGCGTTTGGTTCCTTTCAATCGCTCGAGCACTTTGATATTTGCCAAATCCTTAAAACTTGGGAAAAACAAATATTTACAGGTTATGAAAGTTCAGAAAAATATGTAAATCCAGAATCAGTTCCTGCTAGGCAGTGCAGTACAATAGAAAGCAACAGAATTGTCCTAACTTCTTAAAAAGGGAGACTAATTTATATAAAATAGTTGAAAAGATGTTTAATACATTGCCAAGAAAATAGTCAAGAGAAAAATTATACTGAAAGAAATATAACTCCAAGCAGATTATCTTAATTAAAATTATGTTCAGTTAATATTGCTGTATGTAGTAACCGGTGCATGGGAGTTTTACCAGCATCATGGAAATCAGATTTTACTTAGCTTATCAGACTAGAATACATATCTTACTGTCAGGCTACTGATTTTTTACTCCCCTATGATCACATACAACTGGAGTTAATGAAAGTGGAACATGGAGAAAGAAAACTGAGCTAAGGCCTTGGTACAGAGAGCTTAAAAATTCATTCTTAGGACATTTTGAATTATACTGTTGGCAGAGATCATGGCTTTAAGTCTCTTGAATTACCTTAGTGCCTCTACTTCCTGTAATCTGTACAAATTTGGTTTTCAGAGTTTGATTTAGCCACAGTTTTGCTTGTAGTTTGAGACATTGTTGTCCACAGTGGTGCAAAATTACTTTCTATTATACTAGTGTCAAATATCCTAAACTATCAACATTACTAGAATATCTTAATTATAACAAAACTCAAGCAATAAAACTGTTGCTGAAGTTAAGAGTTTGATGAGGAAACACATCAGGAGACCAAGTGGATTAATTCATCACACCACAAAAAATGTCCCTATATCTTGAACAAAGTCACTAAAGGAATATGAAACAGTGTTAGCATAGATATTTACATTCCTCTGGAATGATAACCTTCATATAAGAGTCACCTATACAGAGAGAAAAGTCCACGAATCTAAGTAAAAAGGTCCTTTGGCTTCATAAAAATTATTGGATTAAGTAACAAAAGCTGCTGTCATTCTCTAAAGAACAGCACAAGCTGTGGCTGATTTGCAACCATCTCTGTAATAAAGTGGTTTCTTCACTTGTGGATACAATGGGGATAGTTTGCTTCAAGTGGCCTGCAAATTTTTACTCTCTTGTGAGTCAGGACTCATTTGTTAGGATGCCTATGGAAACTTTATTAATATTTATCAATTATTTTATCCATTGCTACATTTGCCTTAGTTTTGTAATACTGAAGTTGTCATGATGGAAGTAAACTGGTAGAATTGCACATTACTTCGAATTTTAAATAGCATTTGTTACTATATTCATCTAATTTYCTAACATTGAGAACTATTTTTCAATTATAATCTCAAATCTTGTTTTATTTTTAGAGCGACCTTTTCTGACCAAAAAAAAGCATACAGTTGTGTGGTACTTGGGCAAGTCTATAAGCCTCAGTTTTCATATCTGTAGAATGAGGTGATTGAACCAAATGAGCTAAAAAACTTGCAGTCCTGAAATTCTATTCCCCTTTAATATAGGAATGGCCAAAGATGGATTCTAAAGTTGTACAGAATAATGATAGCATTTATACTACCAAAAATTATGTGAATATGCAGAACTCTTGCTTTAGGCTGACCTGGATTTTCAACTGATGTATTCATTTCAAAATAAAAACCAACATGAAAAAAAAATCAAATTTATTGACATATAGAGGTGGTGGGGATCACAAAATTATTCATGTGCAATTAAATTACTTCCTATACCTTCCAATTATATTCTCATATTTCAAAGCAGGAAGAGCAACACAATGTTGAGAAAAGAAATGTTAAGAATTGCAGTGCTACTTGCCTAGCATGCACAAAGCCCTGAGTTCAATCCATAGCACTGGGGGGGAAAGAGAGAACTAAGGTAACTTATGAGACTATAATCATCATTAACCTCTTGTAGTTTTAACACTCCAGTATATTTTAAGATTAGCATTTGGCTTCTAAGAAAGCAGTTTGTGTTTTTAAGAGTAAGAATGGGAAGGGAATCAGAATATCAGGATTTCAAAAAGCCCTTGAACTCTGTAGGCACATGGGAACTTAATTATTCCCATTCYCGTGGAATCCAATATCTAAGATTCTTATGTTAGAAACAAACAACTTTACATTTCAACAAATATTTATTGTGGGTTTACGATGTTCCTGACATATTTTAGAAGCTGCAGATATAGCAGTGAATAAGAGACATGAATCCAGGCCATTATTGAACTCATTCCAATAGAAGGAATTAGACAATAAAATAAATACCTGCGTTAGATAATATGTTATAAGACAGTGAGCCTTATGAGGGGGAAAAATTGTAAAACCAGTGATATGGAGTGAAATAAAGCACAAGTGAAATGGAAGAGTTGTAATTTTAAATTGGGCATGTGGGGTAGGCCTCACTGAGAAAGTGGTATTTAAATAAGGGTTTGGGAAAGTACAAATAACTGAAGAAAGTATTCCAGACAGCAAAGAACAACCTATATCATGTCTCTGAGGTAGGGACAATTCTGTAAAGTTTAAAGAATTGCCAGGAGGACATTTTATCAGACAAAGATTGACCCAGGAAGAAAATTATAAGAGGTGAGAGGAGTACTAGGAAGTCATGGAGTAGAAGATCTTATGTGCCTGGGCCTGGAAAGATTTTGGCAGAGGACTGACATCATGTGATTTAGACTTTAAAATGCTTACTCTGATTGCTGAATTGAAAATAGTGTGCAGAGTGACAGAGGTCTTATTGCAGTATCCCAGGCCGAGAAAAAAAAAATTGATGGTATCTTGTCCTAGAGTTGTAAAGTCTTTGAGACAAAGCTGGGTTCTGGATATATTTTGAAAATGATTTGATGACATAATGGATTTGGGGTTCTAGAAAAATAGAGAAATCAAAGATGATCAAATGGTCTGAGAAAACGGAAAAATGAATTTGCCTATATTAGCAGAGATGGGTAAGTCTGGATGTGGACTATGTTGGGTTAATATAAGCAATCAAGAATTGAGTTTGTGGGGCTGGGGTTGTAGCTCGGTGGTAGAGCACTTGCGTAGCACCTGTGAGGTCTTAGGTTTGAACCTCAGCACCACATAAAATAAATAAAAGTTTAAAAAGAAAAAAACAATTCAGTTTGGGGAATAAATGTACTAGTTAAATACATTTGTGTAATCTTTAGTGTTTTTGCCATCACAGATAAGAAAATGAAAGAACATTTAGATTTGTAACATTTAATAATTACTTAATTTCTGATCCTTTTTGTATAATAGAAGCTCATTTAGACCTGCCTAGTATATATCAAGGAATATTTTACTTTTCTTTTAAGAAAATGTGAGAAAAGCTAACTATCCTTTTTTTTTTTAAATAAAAAAGAATTTTTAAAGGAAATGTTGGGGATCTATCAATACCTAAAAGCAATTTGGAGAACTCAGTTTACTCAGAGATAAATATATGAAAACTTCCAGTTCCTTAGAGTATTTTCAGTAAAGTTTTTAAATGTAAAACTGGATGTGTTTCAGTGAATTATTCAAATAACTGCCTTCCTTTTCTAGTACACGTGGAAACAGGGCCAAAAATTAATTGGTGCCATGTGAAATAAACCACAGTGTGGCTAATACAACCTGCTATTCCTAATTCACACTCTGAATCTGGATGCAATAAATGTATTTTGACTAAGTAGTGCTTAGATCAGTTGTTAGTGTTCAGAGAACTATACCAACAAGTTTAACCAAGTTACTTTATTTTTTCAGATGCAGCTTATGCTATATTTTTCTCACTCCAGAATATATTTAAAACAATCTCATTAATTCAGTCGATACAGTATTAAAATATGGCCTTTGGTGTCACTTATTACCCATAGTAACCTGGACAAGTTATTCAACCTCTTTGAAAATAAGTGTCCTCCACTGTAAAATAAGGATAAGCATACATACCTACATGGTAGAGTTGTTAGGATTTAAATGGAATATTCCTAACAAATTGAAAGTGTTCTGTGATTTGTAGTTGTCATTGTTTTCTAGTTTTTAGTTATTAAAAATTTTTATGTTTATATTTTTAATGCATTTTATCAATATGACAACTTAATATTCTCTCT